GGAGGCCCCAGAGACAGTGCACCTGGTGGTCAGACTCGACCACGCTGGATTACAACCCTACCACATCCACGAATGACACACTCAAGGGGCACACTTGGTGAACACCAAAGCTCCACTGAAGTAAATCCTGCTCCATAGCGGTGTCTCCAGCACAGCAGCTCTTTGGCTGCAGTTGCAGCTGGTCCTCACAGCCAATTGGCCTGGGGTCAATTCCTTCCAGTGACGCCAACAGCAACCAAGGCTCAACTACAACAGGACAGTGCACACAGCCCACACAGGAGAGCACCTAGAAGGACCAGCTCAGGTGACTGGGGAGGCTGAGCCACTGGACCCTACAGGACACCCACTACACAAAGCCACTCTACCAATTCCAGGAGACATAGCAGCTCTACCTAATACATAGAAACAAACACCAGGAAGCAGCCAAAATATGGAGGCAAAGAAACATGTCACAAAGGAAAGAACAGAAGAAATCTCTGAAAAGGAACTAAATGAAATAGATCCAAGCAAGCTAACAGATACAGAATTCAGAATTTTGTTTATAAAGATGCTCAAGCATATTAGAAAGACTATGATGAAAATAATTGAGAAAATGGATGAAGTCATAAAGTACCAATTTGAAATGAAGGCAACACAAACTGAAATGAAGAATAATTTACAGGGAATCAACAGTAGAGTAGAGGATGCTGAGAATCAAATCAGCAATTTGGAACATGAGGAAACAAAAAACACCCAACCAGAAGAGCAAAAGGAAAAAAGAATCCAGAAATATGAAGATAGCATAAGGAACCTCTGGGACAACTTCAAGAGGCCGAACATTCGTATTATTGGGGTGCCAGTAGGAGAGGAAAGAAAGCAAGAAATTGAAAACCTATTTGAAAAATTAATGACAGAAAACTTCCCCTACCTGGGGAAAGAAATAGACTTACAAGTCCAGGAAGCACAGAGGGTCCCAAACAAGAGGAACCCAAAGAGGCCCAAAGCAAGACACATCATAATTAAAATGCCAAAGGTTAAAGACAAAGAGAGAATCTTAAAAGCAGCAAGAGAAAAGC